CAGGGTAAGATTCCTCCTAACCGTCTCTCACCATCTACAATCTCTGGGATCTTCCAGAAATGGTGATGCTATTTTCCATAGATCTGATTGGTCAGTGGGTGGTGATGTCATACCTGTTAACTTCTTATCTAAAGTACGACCTACACTGGAGCAGGATAGGTGTGAACTCAACAACCACTAATCTGTGTTAGAGTTCACGTCTACCTGCTGCTGTGATCAAGAAGAAAGTGTGTGTGTCTTACGTCGGTAGGGGGACGTGGCATGGCGGGCAGGGCAGAGCCTTCTTGACAAACGCGGGTTCAGACGGCTGCTCCCACGGTCCGGCTAAGTGAACCTAAACCACACGGAGAAAAAACTTGGTGTTTTTTCCCGAGAGGAAACGGGACATTTCCTGCTTTATGGAGCTCGCGATGTCGATAAGATGTTTGACAACGGCGCTCGCAAACACACAGAAGTATGCGCTCGAGTCCACGGCGTCCAGATCTGAATAAAAAGTACTTCAGCTTCAGCTTTAAGCACCAAAACTCTGAGAACATCTGCAGAGTATTAAATACGCACTCAGATTTATGAATTATATTTCATACTAACAATCTAAACTGGAGAGTAACTAAACATACATGTGCAGTGTCACACAAAGTGAAACTTCCTGCTCAATCTGACTGTATAACAAACAGGAAATGGAAGTAATAAAGTATTTAGTTACTTTCCAGTAAAGCAGTCGTTGTTTTTATTCGTTTAATTCACATTTAAAGCTCTGAAATGATTCTGGTGATTGATTCTCTTTAACACAAAGACTCTTTTATAATAAAATAGTAGATGTAAAAGTTACTTTTACATCAGCGCTTTCAGAGTTTCAGAGTAAAAGCATCTGAAGTCACAGCTGTTGCCTCATGTGTTTGGTGGTTTTGTCAGAGGTCGGCAGGCTCCAGATCCCAGAGAAACAACGAGGACCTGAGGTGGTCCTTTACCTGCTGGGACTTGACCAGCACCACGTCGTGGCAGGGCTGCGGGCAGGTGTGGCTGCAGCTGGGCAGAGGCAGCAGGCAGGGCTGCTTGCAGGGGGGGCAGGTGCCGGGGTGGCAGCGGTGAGCCTCTCGGGTCGGGTGGTGGCAGGACGGAGGACACCTG